CACACACACACACACAATTCATTCAGCTATCTAAATTGGAACATGACTAGACAGACTGCTTTTATATGGAATTAATTATAATTACTACATTACACAGGGCTCGACATTAACGCTTGTCCGGGACAAGTGAATGTTTTGGACGGGCAAGTGAAAGAGAAAGTTGCTTGCCCAATCGGACAAGTAACTTGAAAATCAGAGGTCGACCGATGTATCGGTTTTGCCGATTAATCGGCACCGATAGTTGATTGCTGGAACTATCGGTTATCGGCAAAAATACATGCCGATAGTTTTTCGGGTTGCGTCCGTTACTGGAACGGCTGAGAAGGGTCTGTTGTCATTATACAGTACGAGAGCAGCCTCTAGTGGTTGAAATCACTGACAGCACGTGCTATCTTTCACTGCATGATTCAGTATTAAAATGCATGAAGAATGTTCAGAAAATTCAAGATATGGGGGCAGAAAAAGTATATATTTATATCATTTCATATAGTTAAACAATGTCACACGAAGATCGAGAGCGTTTTAAACACCATATTGCCTGTTTTTGTTCTATTTCGGCAACAGAAATAATTCCAAACACAGCCACAGCGCTGTTTTGCGTCTCTGAGCAACATGACGCTGTTTCGTTCCTGAATGAATCAACCATTTAAACGATTCGGTTCAATTGCAATGACTCACTCATTAACAGTGACTTGATGACACCTACTGTCGGATTTAATTTCCCAGTTAAAGTATTTATTTTTATTTTTTAAATGATTTCAAATATCAGTATTCAACGTTTTATGTGTCAAAGCATTATTTATTCATTTGTAACTCCAGGTTAAAGCATCCCATGTCCCTCAGAGCTGCATTAAACTGTGGGTAAATATATCTATTCCACTTCAGATGCAGCTTCTGTGTTTCCTCTGCATTGCAAAGATGAATTTTGTTGATAGTGATTTCACTTTATTATTTTGTTTAAAAAGAAAAATCTAACTAAATAAACTAAATGTGACATGCTCACAAAATCTATAAACACTATACTATGTTTGTATAACTACAATAAATAATTATATTTATAACTCAATTTAAATGTTTTTTTTTTCTCTCCGGGCAAGTAACTTTTATACTTGGACAAGTAAATGACAAATTTACTTGTCCGAAGGACAACCACATGAGAATGCTTAATGTCAAGCCCTGATTACACATTTACATGTGTACAGATACAAAATAATACATATATTACATTAAATAGCTATATTTACTTTTTTAGCTATTTATTAATTGTTTAGTCAAAAAAGGGCCAGATTTAGCTACTATCAGCTTGCATAACCCTCATTTGGCGTTAAAAAACTACTGCCAGGATTTACTAAAGACACGCAATTAGCACTGAAAAGGCGTAGACACGGTTATTTTTGCGACTCACCTTACTTAATATGCATTTGTAGGAGTTTCCATTTCGATCCGTAAATTTATGGGAGTAGAGTAGGCTATTTAAATGAATCACGCAACGCGAATGACCAAGATTTGCGCTAGTCAATTCACTGGTATTTGCGGCATTATGTAACGCTCAAAGAAAGCATGTCTTAAAGCAGGCAGTAATTTGGAGATGGTCCTCACTGCAGAACACAAGATCCAGGGGGCGTGGTTGGATCCAACTCCTCCCACCGTACATATACCTAAACCTACTAGGGGTGCTCCGATTGATTGGCCACAGATCACTATCGGCCGATAATCACGTTGGGATGTTTGATCGGCGGTCTCTAAAAAGGCCAATCTCATAAACCGATCTCAATCTGACAACACACCTGCTGTGAGAGGTTTGGCACAACATGCAGCGGCACCGTCTCAGTCTCTGTCCGGCACGGGTGAAATAATTATAATGCTGAAGGGGAGGTACTCACCTTAATATTTCTTCATTAAATAACTTATAAAGTAATTTGAAAACCTTGTGCGAGATGTAATTTCACAAACAGCGTGAGTGAATCACCGCGTGCGCTCTCTCTTTCTCTCTCAAAATACGCATGGCTTCAAATCACCACACATCGCGTCTGTCTATAAGTAGGGATGCGCCGATCCGATATTCATATCGGGTATCGGCTCCGATAGCCCCATTTTTCTCGGATCGGGTATCGGTCAGAGAGAGCCGATCCCAATCCGAGATTTTTTATTTTTT